CTTTGTAAGGTGGTCTGTCCTGAGGTGAACCATGTGTACACAGCTTTAGGTCCTCTCTGATGTATGTGTTTCTCAGTCAACTGGTGTCGTGTTTCGAGGCCACTATCCCACTGTGTTTGCTCAGTGTCAGTGTACTGAGGCAAGTACCGCTGGAACACTCTTTCATAAAACTACAAGCAGTTCTTAAATTTCAAGAATTAAGAGTGCTGTGATGTTCATTTTTTGTTCGCCATCCAAATAATTTGTATCTATTTAACTTTTTTCCCCACTTGAAAGCATACTAGGAGCCTTGAAGCTCTTTTCTGAACTGAGCGGTTTCTATCATATTTAAGGCCTGAGGTGTCAAAACCAGTCATTAAGTGGGAATGTGGGAAAGTGTAACTGAAGCAGGCCCAAACATGTTTACTTATTGTGAAATTATTCGCATAATTGCTCAATCCCTCAACAAAATACCCAAGAAGTTAATATTCTGAAGTCTGGCTGAACCTGCTCATTAATTCAGTTAAATGAAGTGAAAGAGGCAGAATCAGAGTCAACCGAATGGGAAAAAAAGCCCTTAAGACCATTTCCTATGATTTGGCTAGCATGTGGTAAAGTCCGGGGGTCAGTATATGTCTTTCCCTTTCTTGTTCCTGAGTTTTTTCAGTGTATTAATCTCACATTGGTTTATGCTTAAATCGTTTCCTTTACTGTTCCTTCCCTCTCTCCTTATTCCTCTCATGATTGCTGGGTCAGTAACTTGGTGGTGGATTGGGTCAGGGGGCACACTCTGGTTTTGTCCACCAGCTCTGGGCTGTGAAGACTAATGCCTCCTGACACTCTCAGCTCCATCAGTCCTGGCAGCATCATTTTTGTAATGCAGAAGTCATCAAGGCCTAGGATTGCGTGAGGGCTCTCATCTGGAAACCCAAACAACCTTAACCTCATTGAATTCCTGTTGATGCATACAAAAATTAATGACTGGTTTAAGTTGCTACTTTGTCTCCTGGGATTACACCATATTCCAAGGGATTGCTTTTCAGGAAATCTCTCTAAGGTTAAATAACCGATCTGGTTTTGAGGATTAAATAGGAAAGATTTTAAAACCCTTGATCATGTGTATGAGTTGAGGGTTTTTTTTGTTTTTTTTTAATGATTTCAGTTAAAAGGCCAAAGTTTAATCTGAATTGCATGGCCTCTTTAACTGGTGTGCTGGTCGTTTCCAACCACACTCCACTTCCTTTATGGGCACTCAAATGAATTGTTGCTTAACCTGCGCAGTGACCCTGCCACATGCTATCTGCACCCCTCTACGCAAGATCCACCACTACACTATTTCCCTTCTGGGCAAGGGTTTTGCTCAGTGTCAACCAGAGCCACACACTTGTGAAGGGAAATCCATAAACCTTGTGTTAGTGCGGAGAAAAAAAAGCCAGCACCAGTGCTTACTCATCTGTTAAAAACGGAGTGATCTGCAAAGTTTGTATGAGAGGGTTTTTGACGGTGCCCTGCTGCTTTGTCAGTGCAGCACATGCTGCAGGCACTGGCATCCCCTATTGCCTTCCAGGTCATTGGCCAGGCTCAGCGGGAGGTGGGCTTCTAGCCCCATGACACGTCCCTGATTCACAGCTGGATCCGTAACAAGGTATCATAGCAAATGAGTCGGTAAAACATCACTGGTTTGAAGAGCATGGAAAATTGTCATGATATCATTTGTAATTCCTGATCTGGACTGCCGTTGGTAGAAGAGAGAGAAAGAGAGTGTAAGAGAGATCTGATAATAAAGGGATTTTATTCCCCCGTATCATCACCACCAACACCACCAGTATCGCCCCCTTCTTCCACACACCACTCCAGAACCTGACCTCCAAACTGATGCCTCAGGGGGGAGATTCAAGCTAATGTAAGGAGGCAACAATTAAACATCTCATCATTCTCAGCCAAGTGGCTTATAGGTGTTTCCCTTGTAACATGAGAGCTTCATGACACATTGTCCACATCCTGAATATGGTTTTTGCTCCTCATTACAAACGACTCATGAGTGGTCGTGATGTGTCAGACCAGGCCAACCCTGGTGTGTTGTAATGCTAGAAGTGATTTTAGGAGATTTTATCTAGGTTAAATCAGTAGCAAATATGGCTAAATATTAGAAGAATTTCAACAAATTGACCGATATTCAGATTTTTTTTACTCAATAAATATTATAGTTTCAAAATTTTGTGCAGCGAAAAAAATATATATAATTGAAGTATATGTTTTACAGATCACTGGTAATGCTGCAAACAAAATGAATCATTTCAAAAGAAAAATAATATATATCTTATTTATATTTTATTTTATATAATTACAATAAATTGTCTCTTAGCCAAATCGTGACATTAATAATAATGAAAATCTTGGCACAGACTACCTTGATCATTTCTTCCCTACATCATCAAAACAAAACAAAAACTTGCTGTATTAAAAACAGTTTGCAGTAACACCGGATATGTAAACCTTTATGATCTTTAACCTTTCTATGCTTAGAGTACAGTTGGCTGTGAGGCTGTGTGCGGGTTTGATGGATGCAAAGAATGGACAAACATCAGCTCCCTCTAAAACCACAATGGAGACCTTGGATCTAAATGTCATGGTTTCATAACGGATACACTGACATTTGTGTGATGGGATTTAGCCATGGGTTAATATAGCCATTGCTGGCACACCGCATTGATGTCCATCTCACTTGGGCTGTGAAGTCTATCTCACCATTTTCTCTTTCTGGTGCACTCGCAGAGGTTTCTTTCAAAGGGATGAATTGGATTCTATGCTGGTTTAAACCAATTATTTTATCAGAAAAAAACTGTTTGATATGTAGGTTTGTTTTATATGATGTTAATGTGCCTCAGGAGCTGTTCAGATCATTTTTTTTTTTTGGGTGAGTGTTGGGCTTGGGGAGGGGAGGGTGCTACTGGGGGAAGGCAGGCGATCAGCATTAAAATCAGAGCCATGTAAATCTAATCAATTATACAGTTTTTCAGATAAAATGTTGGTAAATCAAAACACATTTTCCAAAAGTCACAGTATAATGAGAAATTTAAATTGGAAACAGAAACCATTTGTTTATTATAAATGCCAGGGTGAGGTGGTGACTTGCCATCCATAAATTTTGTTATCCTCTCATATTCCTTTTATCTATGACTACAGCTTTGGCACTCGTTCAAGATTTTAATGAACCCAGACTTCTGAGGCATCAAGGCCTAGTGATGCATTGTCCATTTGGATGGGGGGGAGGGGGGTACAGAGCGGGACAAAGGCAAAAAGCTTTCTCCTTTGACATAATATTTTATATTCTGTTGCCTTACAGGGGGGTCATTAGGTGATTGCAACATTCAACAACATAACAGATTGACAAGAATAAACACATATTCTGCATATATCTGGAATTAATACCAGACTGATGAGCTTGTGCATGTGTGTGTGTGTGTGTGTGTGTGTGTGTGTGCGTGTGTGCGTGTGTGTGTGTGTGCGTGTGTGCGTGTGTGTGTGGAAAAGGGTGACTTGAATCAAAAAATAATTTTCTGTGCTTCATGAGGACACGGAGAACCCTCCTGCTCTGGTGCGACCTGTTGTCGGCTGCTTTCTTGGGCTCAGAGGTTCCTAGGGGAGACCAGAATGGAAGTTGAGCATCTTGCTGTGATCCAAAGAAAGTGTGCCAAATGCTATCAAAACTGGATTAGTAGACAACAATTGTGTTCGATGAACAGAAGGGGGAGGGAAAGAAGTAGTTTCCAAGTAACCCATGGATGGAATTTTCCAACTCCATCGCAGTTTTATCACATGTAGAAATGACCTTTCTTTGTTTAGTTGCATGTTTTTAAAAATGTACGTTAGCCTATCTAAAAAAGATTTCAGATTTTTCAAGTGACAAAGAGGAACCAAACTTATTTTTTTGTCATGTTTTCCATGTATTATTAGTCTATGACAAAGATAAAGTAAATAATGGCAATCCATTCCTTCAGTTGTCCCTGGCGTTTTTGGCTTTTTAGTCTTGAAGGTGATGCAGTGTCTATACTTTAACCCCGTGTCAAGGGTGTAGTGTACTGTATATTTAATAATAAAAAAAAGAAATTCAAAATGTAAAAAAAAATGAAGAAATAATGCAGAATAAAAAATACATTAAGTAAAAAGTACTTTAACTTGGACTTTCTACTTTATGTAAAACTGGGGCAATTATCTTATCTTATTATGAGGAGAAAATAAAATATTTTGTTTGGTATGATCTGTAGTGGATAGATTTCTTTCTTTCATTTCTTACATTTCAAAAAGCAAGATAAAAAAAAGAAACAAATCATGAACTTGAGACGTTTTCTCGACTTTTTCTCAAGTTAAGCTAACAGATACATTTGGCTCTATAGCCCTCATGAAGTAAGCTCTACAATAAATCCAGCAGCACATTCACATTTAAATTCAAACACAGCCCAAAGGCTGTCCTCTGAATGCTGACATTTGGAGCAAATCTCCTGCTGACTTAATCATGGCAAATACTATGTGTCATTTGTGCACCACACTTGGACCTGGCTGATGGTAGCTGTAGTAATTCACCACTGCTGCGAGAGACAACTCCTGGGGTGACGTGCCTTGTGCTCAAATCTCACTTTCACTTTGTTTCCCCCATTTCCTTCCATTTGAAGCTCCGGGCAGTCTGTGCCTTCAAAGAGCAGACAGTTCATGTGAGGACCAGTTCAGAGAGACAGTACTCTGAGATGATGTGTAATCCACAGAAACTTTGACTTTAGTTTTTATGCAGCTGCTCTTATTTTGTTGAATTACTCTTTATTTCTGCTACTTTATCACAACTGTTGGACTGGAAACATATTTCATCCGCTGCACTTTATCCTCGACAGCAGTCTCAGCCAGTTACTCTCTGTTTACCACTCCATGTGCTAACAGCACTCCAGATACGCCCCTTCCCAGGCTGTGGCCAATCACATGATTCAAGCTGCACACACGCGCCGCTAGTGAAGCCAATCGCCGCTTGCTCTTGTAGCGTCATCGGAAAACATGGCGGCGCACATTACTAGAGCTGTGAAACAACTTGTCCCACAGTAAGTCAATTTATTTTCAGTTTATCTCGATTGAAAATGATGATTTGACCTGTCGGCTGTGGAGGAAAAAAACAAAACACACTGTAAATATTTAGGCGCTAATTTTTATGAATAGGTTTTCCTGCTCATAGCGTGCAGCTAGCAGCTGCTGGTCAAATGTCACTTGTTTTGTAGGCGGTGGAGAAGCAGCTGTGTTTGTAGCAACATGTTTTTACAGCCTTGCGTTTTCCAAAATAACGGAATACACAGTTTTTGTTTATTTTTATTGTAGCAACGTGGCTGTTATTTGTTGAACGACTTTAGTAATGTAGTGTAAGAATGTGTGACTCATTCTGCCCAGGGTCGCAGTTTTACAGCACATCTAATGTGAGGTGGGAAACGAAGTAAAAATGTTACTGGGGCCAAGAGGTAGTGTGTAATTTGATAACTAAGTAAAACATTAAACACAGACCGTGTGCTATGCAGGTTTGGCTTTTGTGAGGGACATTTGCTTTTTTTTTAATGCAACTTTTCCGACGACTTTGCAAAGAAAATATAATAACATAAAAGTTTGACAGTTATTTTCTTGCATTGCGGTAGTCGTCCTCCACTCCACTATTGCCCCTTTTCTTTCCCGTAACTTTTAAAGAAAAAGTTATTTTACTGCTGTTCTCTCTAGTGATCATCTTGGGATGAATTCCCATCAAAATCCAAATATATCACCACACCTCTTTTTTATGTTTTTGTTTTTCTAAGACACATATTTCTTATGTTTGTGTCACATTTACAAGATTAGATCACAGGGTTGCATTCTGCTCCTTGAAAATAACCTGGGGAAAAGTTGCCTTCCTTTGGCAACTTTATAAGTTTCTACCTTGGCTTTGCTGTAGCTGCATTTCATTTTCTTTGCTGTACTTTCGGTCATAAATTGTGACTTCACGGTGAATCGCAATTTTCTCCATAGGCAGCAGAAGATGGTGACAGGTCAACCTTTGCTCTAAATGTGCACTGTTTGATAGACATTTAACACAGTCCCATAATGACAACGTTCCCCCCTTTCTCCTTAGACAGTGGATAAAAGCCCGGTCTAGAAACGCATTCGTCCTGCAGTGCTCACTTTAGAAATGCTGGAGCCAGTTGAAATGCTGGATATCAAATGCTGTACACTTACGCATAACATGGGATACTCTATCACTTTACACTGTTGCAGACTTCTTTGATATGCTGTGGTTGAGTGATGAATAAAAGATGCATATTCATATGAAAATCAAACCAAAACCACATCATAATTGGAGGAAAAGTAAATGATCCTCACTGTTAAAGGAGCTCTGTGCAACCTCGGAGAGCCATTCTTATTAATGATACTCAAATGAGGCTAGTGTACTAATCTTCACCTGCTCACTGACACAAGCAAAATTCTAGGTGAACTCACATCAGTGACATACTCTAAGTGCTCAGAAGCCTTACTTTGATTATAGGAATATAACCAGAATACAAGCAGTTGGCAACCAGTTGAATTGAGTCTCCTCTTCCAAAGAGGTGTCCTGCAGGTGAGTTGTGCTCAGCTTGTGCGCTGATGCTGTTTCACGTTCAGTTAATGGGCAGTTTGTGAGTAAATGTTACAAAAAATTCAGTGCAGTCATTGTGCAACCACTGATTTTTTTCTCCCTTCCTAGTTGCAAGGAAGTTGCCAGTTTCCAGTTATGCTGCTGTGATAAATGCAAATGCTAATGACTTTTGCGACATATAATCAAATCAATGGAACAATATACCAGCCCTGCAATAAACTGGACTTTCTTCAAGGGTAGGGATGGGTATCGAAAACCGGTTCTTGTTGAGAACCGGTTCCCACTGTTTCATTTCCTTGGAATTGTTTGCCATTTTTGCAAACGATTCCCTTATCGATTCCAGTTGCCCCGAATGACGTCATCACGTTGCGGAGCGTCATTTACCTGGCAGGAAACACGGCGCGTAAGCGGCTCAAACGCTCAAAAGTTTGGTTATACTTTACGAGAACGGATGACAACAGGGCAACTTGCAATAATTGCAAAGTAGATATTTAATTTAAGGGAGGAAACACTACGAGTATGCAAAAGCATTTGCTCACAAAACACGCGATGACCTTAAATGAATGTCGTGTTTTTAATTCCGCTCCGGACTCGTGAAGCTCAACCCAGCAGCAGCGGTAACGTTTGCACGTCCTCTCCCGTTAATGCGGCAGGTAAATAACAGTGCATATTATGTTAGTGCGATCTGCCTTATTACAAAACCTGCCATTACTGTGCATTTAGGTGACCATGATGAGAGAGACAGACAGAGCCTGGCTCAGATGCTGGCAGCTCTCGCTGCAGTCTACCGGTAGCGTCTCCTTTCAGGCCAGGATAGATGAATGACACCAAGCAGTGACTAAGTTTGTGGTAAAAGGCTTGAACCCATTTGCCACAGCAGATGCCCCCGATTTCACTTTGGTAAGTGAATGTGTTTAATTGTAGGCAGGGACATTACTGGATATTCTTGTGTAATTGCCACAGAACAATTTATGTTATACTTTGTTATTGCTACAGAAGAATATTTATTTTATTATTTTACATTTACAATTTTTTTTCCTGGGGACCCTGTGACACCCCATTGAAGAGCCGTAGGCTGGATCTCTTTAAGATCTCACTGCTGGGTTTGTAAGGCCATGTTACTCCTAAATTTCTATCTTGTTCAAAGAGAAGATATAAAACAAAGTTCTAAGCCAGGGGTGTCAAACTCAAACACACAGTGGGCCAAAATTCAAAACTGGAACAAAGTTGCGGGCTAACGTTAATATTTATTGAAATATATTTATTGCTCCAGATATAAGAATGAATCTTTTCTTATGGACTCAAACACGTTTTGCTGAAAAACTGAATATGGAACAAGCAAAGCTTAATACTAAACAATATATATATATTAGCTGTATAATACCAGTAGGCCAGCTCTGATAGTAATTTGGTATGGCTTCGCGGGCCAAATGTGATTAGGCTGCGGGCCAAATTTGGCCCGCGGGCCAGAGTTTGTCACCTATGTTCTAAGCTAATCGACCTTAGTGTTCTCCTTTTTTAAAGAGAATCGATAAGAGAATCGATAAAGAATCGAATCGTTAAACAGAATCGAAAATGGAATCGGAATCGTGAAAATCTTATCAATACCCATCCCTATTCAAGGGTTAACTCAGGTTTTTAGGTGTGGTACTTTGTGGTGATGCTGAGTGGAGGTGTTTCTTTTAATTTAACCTCTAAATGTGGAAAATGTGTGCTGAATTGATATTAGTATCTGGAATACTGGTAGACCAATACAGTGCACATAAACTGGTCATTACAGTCATAAAACTACATTTATGGAATTGCGCCTGATTGAATAAAGTGCCTGTTACATTTTACAGTTAGTCTTTTGTTATTATCTTTAGACACTTTTTTGCCATCAGAACTACCTTCATTCTTTGTGACGCATATTCAACTAGGTATTGGAAACAGTCTTCAGAGATTTTGGTCCATATTGACATCACAGCATCACGCAGTTGCTGCAGATTTGTCACCTGTGCATCTGTGATGCATGTCTCCCATTCCACTACATCCCAAAAGTGCTAAATTGTGATCTAGCGACTGTGAAGACCATCTGAGTACAGTGAACTCATTGTCATGTTCAAGAAACAAGTTTGAGATGCTTTGTCACAATGTGTGATATCTTGTTGGAAGCACCCTTCAGAAGATGGGTACACTGTGGCCATAAAAGGATGGACATAGCCAGCAACAATACCGGGGTAGGCTGTGGTGTTTTAATGATGTTCATTTGGTACCAAAGTGTACCAAGAAAATATCCCCAGACTATTAGACCATCAGTATTCTGAACCGTTGATACAATTCAAGATGGATCCATGCTTTCATGTTGTTTACACCAAAATCTCCCCCTACCATCTGAATGTCACAGCAGAAATGGAGACTCGCCAGATCAACTAATATTTTTTACAATCTTTGCTATGTTTTTAGTGTGAAAGTTCACTAAAGTAAACTGCAGGGGGAAACTGAAAATGTTCCTTACAACAAACCTAATGAGACTCTTATATATGGTCATTTTAAAGGAGCTAACACAGGAAAAGTGGCTAAAGACAAAGCTAACCAGAGACCAGAGTATGTTAGAAGGCAGCAGGCTCAATAAGAGCAAATGATCAAAGGAGTTATGGGAAAATTATGGAGATGAGTGAAAAAGAGAAATGGTTGACGTCCGTTTATCTGCTGAAGCTATAAACATACTAGAAAATGATGGAAGTACCTGAAATTTGTTTTGTTATATAATTCTGGGGAACTCGCTGTTGCTTGCTAAGTAAAACCTGTCATGTAAACGTGGGTGTACAGCAGCTCATTTTATCAGTATGTCTTTTCAGTAGAAGAGCACTTTATTATCAGTTGTTTACTTGATATAGATTTGGAGAGATCGTGAAGTTTAATAATCTCTTTAAGTTGACTATGTATGCAACGGTATTGCCAGGTCACACTTACCGAAAAATCAGAAATTGGAATTAGTCAAATAAATTGAAATCAGTGCATCTCTACACTGGTATCAACAAGGAATTTTCACCCAGAGAACTGCCACTCTCTGGATAGTTTCTCTTTTTGGATCGTTCTCTGGAAACCCATGGATTGGTGTGAAAATTGCAGTACATCAGCTTTTTTTTTTTTTAATATCTAGGCAAGCCAATGTGGCACCAACAACCATAAATCACCTTTCGTCTTCACTCTGGTACTTGATTTGCTCTTCAGCACATCATCTTGACCATGTTTAAGTGCCTAAAATGTTTTTGTTTGCTGCCATGTGATTGACTGACTAACAAGTAGTTGAACAGCTGTACCTAATGAAGTGGCAGGTGTGTGTACCTGAACAACAGGCACAGCACAGAGTAGGAAATGACAACAACCAACTTTACCCAAATGTTTGAGAAGAGGAAATGTCCAGACTACAAATAGTAGAATAAAAGCAGGTAATTTCTTTTTGGTGAC